AAAAACCTTTGGTGGTACGACAGGGTGGATGGAGTGGGTCGAGTAATTATCGCATTCGGAATGCAATTCCTATAAACTCGCTCATCGGTATCGACAGGTTCCGCCAGCAGACGTGGAGGGTGACGCTGCATGGTGCTGGAAATGCGTCGATTCCGACCCGTACCGATATCAGGAGTCTCTGACACCATCGATGTCGATGACGGTGACAGGGAAGGAGAACGCTCTGCACCCGGAGGGCGACTAAGGAGCTCTACTGTCTTGATATCGGAGTAGGGACGCTCAAGTTGGTGTATAGGAGAGTCCAAGAGTTGGATGGTCGGTATCGGTGGAGGGACATGGGTCTCCGATGCCGATACAGCCGTTGGAGCGGATAGCACGTTAGGGGCATTACCCAGTGCAGACACCGCTTTATCTCCCTTTTTCGCCGCTTTTAGGGACTTAGGGGGGCCCTTTTTTTGCAGACTTATGCTCCTTACTGGCCTTCGGCTTCTTCACTGGAGTGGAAGTGGAAGATCGTGCCTTCAATGCCGGAGGCTTCGACGTCGATTGGCCGATGTCGGAGGAAGGCCTCGATGCCGGAGCCGTCGACATGGATGGTCTGTCTGAATCCATCGCTGAGGGAGGATTTAAAGCCAACTCAAGTAGCACTACTTTAAGACGTGCAGCTCGGTTTTTTTCTTGTCTGGTTCGAAAACCTGGCACAGAGCCGACAAGATTCTGGTCGGTGAAACGCCCCCAAACAGAAAATGCAAAGGGTGTGATGGTCAGGTGGAGCAAGTTTACTGCCGCAACCCTTGCAACGATTGAAAAATCCTGATTTCTTCTCCATAAATGAAGTAAAAAGAGAGAAGAAGAAGGGGTGGGGGTGGAGGCCCAAAGGCCAGACTGAGGTAAACCCACACTTACCCCTCAACAAAAAACAGGGTTTTAAAAAAAAATAAAGAACAAACAAGGAAAAAGGACGAAAAGGGAGGAAAAAATCCAAAGAGCCATGAGGCAAAGGCCAAAAATAGCGAACCAATCAGACTGACGAAAGAAAGGTCTTGATCTTTCCAACGCGGCGGTAAGAAAGGAACTGGTGGGATGTCCGCGCCCTACCCTCTGGGCATGCGCGGTGGGGTTTCTGCACATGTCCGGGGTCTGGGCGCGAAAATCCGTTAAAGAGCTTGCTACAATGCCGATCGATCCAGTGCGTGCGCACTAGATCCCATGGGTGTGAAGCACAGAGACCACGTCGAAGATCATAAAGATCTATTACTGAGGAAAGAAGCATGCCACTGGTCTGCTTTTAGTATTAAATAATGTTCACTACACTACTATATAATGATAAGAGAAGACAAAAACAAGTGTAGTAAACAGACTCAACAACTGCGACTAGCCAAAACGCTGAAGAACATGTAATAGAAAATGATTTATACAAAGCAGCGACAATGAAAATGTACAAAATGTAAAAAATGGAGAACTGGTATGTGCTACAATGTATAAACAATGGAGAACTACTAAACAATTCAACGTTGTGTCTGGATGTTTGATAACAACATTTCAAAGTCCATCCTTCATCAGGGTGTTCCTTTTAAGCTGCTGTGGTTTTCATACTCATACTGACATGCATTAGGAACAGTAATAATTCAATACAAAATTGGACATCAATCTCCAACATGTATCATACTGACATGCATTGGGAACAGTAATCATTCAATACAAAATTGGATATCAATCTCCAACATGTAGTCAGCTTCAATAGCTTCAGACTTGCAGCGGGATCAGCAGTTGCTTTGTATACATCATTTTCTATTACATGTTCTTCAGCTTTTTGGCTAGTTGTAATTGTTGAGTCTGTTTACTACACTTGTTTTTGTCTTCTTTTATCATTACTGGTCTGCATTTGTCATATATATATTTTTTTGTAGTAATATCAAGTACTACACTGAAATTGACTCCAAATTCTCTTTTTACAAGAATGCAAACCATGCAATCAGTTTATTGGTAACTTTTATGAATGCCAACATTTTAGTTAATGTAGGGTTAACAACTACATGCCAAGTCACCAGTTCAAGACCCTCAACAACAAATAAACTTGTCTCGGAATAAAATGTTGTTGTAATTCCATCAGAAAGATAGGTCTTGTTAAATAATCTCTTAAAGTGTGAATCAACATGCCCATCTTTGAATTCTTGACTTGCCCTGATTCCTTTTCCTTCATTTTGTCTTGGATCTTGCTTTAGAAAGCTATTTCACATGAGAGTTATGTCTGAGAATAGATTCTGCTTCTGACTAAATGGTCACATGAATGAACAGACAGTATTTTAGTATTCATTTCACTTCTAGACTAGTCCTCACTTGGGACTGGATTTAATCCAGACTGTTCCCGACAATAAACTGATTCTAGCAATGTTTTCTTCAGAAGCCTCCCAAACTGAAATAAAATAAGAGAGCCAAATTACAAAGGCTTTGCTGTCTGTCCAGGACATTGAACAGCTAATTAATTAACACCTAAGAAGGCCAGTATAACATGTAAATGGTACTTTTAAGCAAACAGCTGTGGTTGATTCTTATTAATAATTTCTGGAATTCAAAATGGTAAGAACAATTAATAGCACGCTCTTTGATACAAAAAAATGAGCTCTAATTCCATAAATGCTTCCATTGTTTAATAGCCAGACACATTAGCTGGCTTGTAAAAAAGTAAATTGCAACCTTCCCCTTACTTGATTAAATTTAATCACTGGAGCTTGTGCTAGCTATTACCTTTCCCAAGTGAATTCCTTTATGTGTTGCAGTTCCTAGACTGTTAACATGCAAACAAAAATGGCAAAGAAACAGTATGTCAAACACAACAGCAGCCATGCTCCTCTTTTAAGTATGCTATTAAAAGCATATTGTCTTCGCTCAGGAATGTCTAATTGAAAAAAGAATTCTGCAGAATTCTTTCAGTTAAAATCAATCAAGCATCGTCATAGCTAGTAAAAATATATGATGCTGTCAGAAAGCAAAGAATGGTATTGTACCCCCTGGTCATTTCCAACGTGATCTTACCTAAGGGCAATATTCCATACAGTGCAATGAGCTGCCTGACATCTGCAAGAGAGGGCATTGGTTCTATGTTCACCTGTCGAAGTGTAGTACCCAGATAGCTGTATTCACCTGCAGGGAAGAGATGAAGGCTTAATAAGTGGCATACGACTGCTGCCAAATGCAGAGCTCCAAAAGCCATAAACTACCAAGGAATACAAATATAACATCCTTTTTAAGACCTAATAGCCTTTCTCAGCTTGTAATACTATTTTAGAATTCATTCCCTGACTGCACCTATTGAATTTCATCCTGAAACCATCTCCCAAGCTCAGGGTTGAGCTGAAATATCAAGGCAAACTGTGGGTGCCTGGGATCTAATCCATAAGCAAACATGATCTGTGAGATGTTACAGCATGTTTATCGCTTAAGCCTTAAGCAGTGCAAAATTAAGTCTGGTGCCTTGACTGACAACTTCCATGTTTTTTGGTCCAGGGGTGAATTTGAAAAGTGCCCTGCCAACTGTCTCAAAGTGACTTTTTAAATCTTAGCCTTTCTTGTTTTTCAGAAAGGAAAAACATTCACTACCCTTAACAGCTAAGTAGGACCTCCAGGTTCAGTGCATCGCTGAATACCAGAGAAATGCTCTTCACCCTAGGATTCACCCCAATATTTCAACTATTGGGACTACTGGAACGTGGCTGCAAACTTGTAGCTGGTAGAAAGGAGGGGTTGAACCATCAAGCCCAGGCACAGAGTTCTTCAATGCAAACATATGCTGATGGCTCTGGCCAAAGTAGGGTAATGTTGCACTTAAAGGGACAGAGAGGGAGACAGCCAAATGGCTAGAAAATGTTCTCTTCCTTTTTAAGGCAAGAACAACAACCCTGGAGGGCAGCCTCTCCAAAGTATAGATTATAAATTCCCAGGATACAGGGAAGAAACTCTTCTCTGTTACGGTTTCTGACCAGGGAGGCACAAGTTGTAAGGACTCTCTCTTGTCCCTGTAACAAGATGTAATGGAGAGAAGTTCCAACTATGAGAACTAAGATAATGCTGAATGTTAAACTACTGCAAGTAAGGACTCTCTCTTGTCCCTGTAACAAGACGTAATGGGGAGAAGTTCCGAGAACTAAGATAATGCTGAATGGTTAAACTACTGCAAATTCAAGTAATCCTACCCTGTCCTAAATAAGTATCAAGATTAAGGAAAGGAGACAGCATGTTTTCACCTTTTCTTTGTACCCTTGTTCAGGCTGAATGCCTGAACAGACCATGTGTATTCTTTTTATTCATTTATCAATCTTTCTTATATTTTGACTGCTCTTAGCATGACCTCTGTAAACACACCTTATCAGCTCCACATCTATTCAGTCTTACTATCTGAAGTGTAGTAATGGACAGAGGCAGTAGGTAAGCTTGCCATCCCTGGGGCCCAAGAGTTCAAACTTGCAAAATTGCAGTAGTCTGTCCCCATGCTAGCTTGTGGAAGTGAAGTTGGAGGTAAAGAAACCAGGCAGAGCCTCTACATGGCAATTCAGATCCAGAATGCTACATGTGCAACTCCTTTGACCAGGAGAGACTCTCAGAGTTGCTGGAGGCAGTTTGTTTTTGGCAACTCCCAGGGCTAAGGAAAGGCGGGATATAAATCAAAAGTAATAAATAAATAAAATAAATAAAAGGGGCACATTTGCCAAGTGGGATTTTGGGATGGCCACAGAGTTTTCTCACCTCCCGGGTACTAGTCCAAAGGAGCAGGGGAGCTGTGAGTCAATTCCTTCACAAGGGGTAAGGAAAACAGATCTCCCCCCTCCCACCGCATCCTATTTTCCCTTTGTCGGATCCATAGACATCCAGGCACCCTATTTTCTCTCATCGAGCCACTCTCTGATTCCCCCATCCCCAGAGGCTGCTACCATTGCACCATTATGTCATCACATGATAAAACCTGACCAAAAAACCTCCCACCTGATTCCCTAGGAATTTCTCCACACAGAATTTCTTGTCAGGGCACCAAATGCCTCCTTGATGGCTCTGGCTGCTTCCTTCACTGAGCAGGCAGCAGCCACTTGTATTTGTTGCTGACACTGCACAAAGAAGGATATGACCATGTATGCTCAACATAACTGGCTAGTACTTTGATATAAAATCAGAGTAGGAAATCTGAAACCTTATAACTTTATCAATGCAAAATGGATCCCGGATTGGGGGGGGGGGAAGTGCGGAATATTTCCAAATTCTTGACAGAATGCCAACTGGGAGAAGGAGATAAGTCAGGTATGCTTTGCTTTTTCCAAAAAAAGAAAGAAAAAAGAAGTAAATTTACAAATCTGTGGCTAGAAGTTAGAGACAAATTGAACTTCTACAAGTCATTCTTTCTTCAGTGGACTTTTCTGAAATCTGGCCAGTTCATACCACTCTCCAGGTGGATTCTCTGTGGCAAAATCTGAGACTCATTCCATGGATTTTAGGAGGGACAGAACTTTCAGGAATTACAGTGGCAGAAAATGAACTAACCCCCATGGGACAGACTTAGGGAGCTGTTCCCTTGATCTCGCCATTCCAAAGTCTAGATGTATGGTACTGGCAGAGAAAGTTCATACTTTACCCACATAATCGCTGAGTTTCACTTTCTTGGCTCTTATTAATATCCCTTCTTCTACCAGTTCCTTGAAGAGAGAATCAATGGTCCTGCACACAGAGACATAATTTAAGTACATGACCCAATTTGTAGCCAAAGGCACAAATCCTCTCGAAAAACCTTCATATTTTAAGCTATTCATAACCTACTTTCAGCCAGGTAGATCCACGGAATGTCTTAAAGCAGACATAAATATAGAACAGTGCTACAAATAACAAAGCAATAATAAAATAAATTAAAAGCATAAAACAGGACAATAGCCACCAAGAACAGACCATGCTACCAATGAAGGAGGAAAAAAGAGCAGTGGAGCAATAATAAAATAAATTAAAAGCATAACACAGGACAATAACCACCAAGAACAGACCATGCTACCAATGGAGGAGGAAAAAAGAGCAGTCAAAAGTTTCAGCCAGTGGGAGAGCCAGTGGGATGCAGTGCATAGCAGGGAGACTCCAGTTCAAATACTAGCCCTATTTTGGAAACTTGCTGGGTGATCTTGGGCTGGTCGCTCTCTCTCAGCATGACCTACCTCAAAGAATTGTTGGGAGGTTAGAAGGGGCAGGGAAAGGCAGTACCTACTGGGTGATGGGAAGCAACGATGGAACTACCAGGACCAGAGCTGCAGCACTGTGCAGGCGTGCAGCTTCCGAATGGCTAGAGGGACCTGGCGCCAGTGAGTGACATCATCACCCCGCACTGACAATGGGTTCTACTAGCCATTTAGAAAGGGCACTTGCATGGTGCTGCTGCCACGGTCCCGATAGCTCCCTCACCACGTCACCTGTTGATAAGTGCTCTATCTCCCCCTCCGTCTTCAGTAGAACACAGTGGTGGAAGCTGAGGATACTCCTTAAGTCACCCTCCCATGAGTCATTGATGCAGGTGAGTCCTCCCCCAAGACCCCAAGAGAACTATGTAGCCATGAACGATCAAACATGCAAGAGGAAGGGTCACATCTCCAAGGACCTTGTCCACATTCTCCGAGTCCTCAAACTGAGAAATATCCAAGAAAAGAGAATCAGTGGATACCCTGGGAACACTGGGTACTCTGTAGTTAAAGGGGCATCCACGTAGGGGTAAATATGAGAGATTTTATTTGTGATGTGTTCAGGAAACTGGGTGCAGCATGGCACCAAGACGTCCTCTAAACTCCTCCCCCCGACACACAAGGTGCACAAGAGAAAGACACATGTAAATAACTCATGTTCCTTAAAAGATCTTCTTAGAACATGATGAACAACTAGCTCTGCAGTACATGGGGTTGAATCCACCAGAGATTTCTGCGGATGGAAAGATTGCCGTCTGCGAAGCAGGACTCCCTCAACCTCCCTCTCTGACTGCAGCCCCAAAAGTCCTCAAAATGATACTCTTGGGGAAAAGGGAACAGCTTGCAGTGGGGTGTGTATGTGTGTGAGCCGGAGGTCTGTAGCAGGAGGAGAGAACTAGCAAAAAACACCTCTCCCTTGTAGAAATCCTTCTGCCGGATTCAAGCTCCTGTGTCCTGTGCGCCTGTGTGTTTAACCCGTAAGAATGTGGAACAAGGTAGCTAGTAGTATTTGGAGCATGGCTAGGAAGTTAAGTAGGCTCTCTGGTAGGAAGTTGAACTGGCTTATGCACAATTGTTCAGTCCTGCTGGCTGCTTTACGGTGTCATGAATTAGAAACTCTTAAGGGAATGTAAAGGGCAAACTGCCCATGGCTCAAATCATAACTGCATTCCATCTGTGAGTACTATCTTTGAACACTGGGTGGGGGGGCTGCTTTTATCAAGAGCTCTAGCTTGGCTGCATTTTGTTGCACGTTCTCGTACTGCTGTTTGGGAACTTTAGGGGAAGCGAAGGAGAAAGCAGCCCGTTGCCTAGGCAACTATTCTTTTCCTTGGATCTGCCTAGAGTCACCCACAATGCCTTCTCCATGGTCCATTGCTCTGCTTGCAGAGGAGCAGGAGGCGGCAGCAAACAGCAGCTCCCATAACACTGACAAACAGCAGTCAAGACAAATGTCATCCAAAGGGGGCAGAAGGTTAAAGGAATTAACCTCTGAGAATGTGACAACAGCCACTACAGGCCTCGCTTGCCTGGTCTGATGAGTGCAGACACAGCAGTAGGGATGTGCATTCTGAAAAAGCTGAAAAAATAGCTAGAAAATACCTTATCAGTATTATTAGCTATTCTTTCAGATAGATATAGAGGGGGTGTATTTAGCCAATCCTTGATAATCCCCACAAAATTCAGGATTATTTGAGAAAACGATAGCCGCAGTTAAATGGCATTTAAAGAGAGTACACTCCCTTTAAATGCCATTCATGAAGCTGTAGCTTCACGGACACATTTAAAGGGACTACAGCAACTTTAAATGCCTTTGGCAGCATTATACCCTATGGGGACCATTATCGTCAATGATCCCCTAGGCTATAATGGGGAAGCTATCCAGGCGTTTGTGTGGTCTGTTTTTTGAAGTAGAGGCACCAGATTTTCCATGTAGTTTCTGTTGCCTCTACTCAAAAGACCCCCCCAAGTTTCAAAAGGATTGGGCCAAGGGCTCCAATTCTATGGGCACCCAAAGAAGGTGCCCCCATCCTCCATTATTTCCAAAGGAGGGGAAAAACAGCAAAAAAGCAGGGACTGATGTCAAACCAGAGAGGCTCTGCAGTAAAAACTAAAGGGAGGGCATTTTTGCAGAACCAGTGCCACTGTGGCAATGCCAGCTCAACAAATCCAAGCAACAGGGCAGTTTGCAAGCCTAGCACAGTCAGTGCATGTACAGAGTGCCCAGCAGAACCAATGCCACTGTGGCAATGCCAGCTCAGCAAATCTGGGGGGTTGCAAGACTAGCACAGCCAGTGTATGTACAGACTGCCCAGCAGTACCAGTGCATGTACACAGTGCCCAGCAGAACTAATGCCACTTTGGCAATGCCAGCTCAACAAACCCAAGAAAGTTTTTTTTTTGCAAGCCTCACACTGGTTCTGCCGGGCACTCCGTACATGCACTGGTTCTGCTGGGCTTGGAGAAATTCCTCCCACTTTCAGTTTCCACTGAAGAGACTCTCTGGTTTGACTTTTTTTTTTTTTTGCTGCTGCTGCTGTTTTCCTACCATTGGAAACAATGGAGGATTAGGGCACCTTCTTTGGGGACCCATAGAATCAGACCCCGCAATCAAATCTTTTTGAAACTTGTGGGGTCTTTTGAGCAGAGGCACCAAAAGCTACACTGAAAATCTGGTGCCTTTACCTCAAGAAACAGCCCCCCAGACCCCTGGATACCCCCAGATAGATTCCCCATTGACTACAGGGTATAATGGAGCCAAAAAAATCCAGGATTTCAAAAAATACCCAAATCCAAATACCATACCAGTATAGGAATTCAGGTTTTTTTTTCAGGAATCCTGGATTTTTTGGGGTCCAATATATCCAAATCTGAAAAATCTCTAATTTAGTGTGTGTGCACAGCAGCATAGGCTCAAAATGCATCTCATTCATAATGGTTTGGGGGAAATCAACTTCTGGCTTTTGAACTTTCCCCTGAGAGCAGCAAGGAAGGATGCTATTTGTACTTGAACATGGAGTAGGAAAAGCTGACTCACTGGCAAGAGGAGCCTTTTTCGTCCACCCACCCACCCGTCCACCGATTTTCTCCACCTAAATGGCTTTGTGGTGCCCCGAGGGTAGCTTACAACACCACTGACCCCCCTCCAGCTTCCCACAGTCAGCTCTCTTATACAGAAATATATAAAACAACATTAAGAGTTTATCCTGGTCTTGATTCTTGTACTACGAGAGGAAGAAATGCTGCTTTGTTCAATTATCAAAGAAGAGCTGACTAGTGTCCTATTTCGGGCATGTTAAAAAAAACAGATGGGAAAATCTGATAGATATCTGAAACTACCAGGTGTTACTACACCTGCCGCAAGGAATAAAATTTAATGACAATTCTTCAAAGAACCATTAGACGTATGCTTGAAAATACACAGAACGAAGGTCCACAGCACACATGACCTAAAATAAACTTTCTGCAAATTGATGGTTGACCTTTCCTTATCTAAATTTCTTTACACTTTATAGCCATTAAAAAGAATTTAACATTATATTTTTCCATAATTGCCGAGGAATTGGAGCTACCAGGTTCAGGCTTATGAGTACCAACTCTGACTCTTCTTTGTGCTTGAACAAAGCCAAAAAAAGAGAGAGACTTCAATGTGAATCACAGAGGTGCAGGTGAATTTTTACCTGTCAGGAGTCAGATCTTTTTCCTTCTTAGATTTTTTCTTCCTTCTGTCCTTTTTTCCTTTTCTTCTCCCCTTTTTCTAACGGCCATAAATGGAGATAAGTTAGCAAAGGGAAAACTTCTACACTTTTGGAAGCAATTTGTAGATTACTTTTGGCGGATGGCAATTTAATACTCCCCCACCCTGCTGATAGATCATAACATTTGTTTGCACAAATCCACGTTAAAAAAAAAGAAGTGGTCTCCAAACTTCTCATTCCATTCGCACAATTATTTTCTGGATTATGGTAGAAGGTACACTTCTTTCTCTGCTTAAAGCAATATGCTTTTTATTTTCTCGGTCAGCTCCTGGAACAAAGTCAATTCCGTTAATATTTACTCCCAGCTCCTCCTGTGCCCAGTCAGTCAGGATGCTGTGATGGGACCTGCTTTCTTAACAACGGTGATCCTTCTCAAACACCCCTATACCTGGTCAGCTGCAGTGTGGGCTGTGTCAGGGAATGCCAGGGCATCATTACTCCCTTTGGATGATGCCATGGCTAGTATGCTGGCAGAGAGAGCAAGGACCAGTGATAAGTGGGGCACTACATGGTAACAGTTTTTTAAGGTTCATTTCAGACCCTCTCACAGCACACTAGGTTTGGCAACCACTCATGAACAGGAACATACAAGAATGTAAAGATGATGGGCAGTACTCCCCCTATGTCTACTTCCTCTATTTCCCACGGGACAAATGTTCCCTCTTCCCCCGGTCCACTACAAGCCACGTGTCAGAGTATTTCAAGGAGGAAAGCTGTGGCAGTGTGTGCTACTTTATCACTGCCTGCCCAATGCTACTGAGATTGACTTGAGGAACTCTTGTTAGTGGCTGTGTTCTGTGGAGAGCCAGTGTGGTGTAGGTGGTTAAGAGCGGCGGACTCTAATTTAGCAAACCAGGTGAGATTCCCCACTCCTCCGCCACATGAGGCCTGATGGGTGACCCTGGGCCAGTCACAGTTCTCGTAAAACTCTCTCTGCCCCACCTATCTCACGAAGTAACTGCTGTGGGGAGGGGAAGGGAAGGCGATTTGTAAGTCACTTTGAGACTCCTTAAGGTAGAGAAAAGCAGGGTATAAAAACTAACTCTTCATCATCATCATCATCATCATCATCATCATCATCATCATCATCATCATCATCATCATCATCATCATCATCAAAGTAGGGTTGCCGACCTCCAGGTGGAGCCTGGGGATCTCCTGCTATTACAACTGATCTCCAGGTGACAGAGATCAGTTTACCTGGAGAAAATGGCCACTTTGGAAGGTGGACTCCATGGCATTATACCCCACTGAAGTTCCTCCCTCCACGAAACCCGCCCTTCTCGGACTCCATCCCTAAAATCTCCAGGTATTTCCCAACCCAGAGCTGGCAACCCTAACAGAAAGTGAGGGCAGTGACCTGGCTGGATTATGGGCACATGTTCCCACAGTGCAACAGTAAACCTAAACAGGGTAGTATCTTATGCCAGCCCGTCCCCAATGACACTTTGGGCAGTAATTGGAAAGGCATACCATTTTCAGTAAAATAAACAAATACATCCTTTTGGTTAATCTAAAGTAATTCAGATATTTTTTTTTTAGGATTCCACAGGTGCAGTTTTGAAGAGGAAATTTTTAAACCAAATAATACCAGGGGTTGTACCTTTAAAAGGGATGTATTTGCATAATACCAGGGGTTGTACCTTTAAAAGGGATGCATTTGCATCTCTCAAGAGCACCTCTCAGGAAACCTGCTTCCAACACTCTGCCTTTGTAGGGATCGCCCACTGGGAGGGTCAGGACTCCCAGCTTCCCTTCCAAGTTCTGAGGCCTTGCCCCTGTGTCTCCCGCTGCCCAGCGCCTGGTCACGATGGGGACAGTTTACTGCCTTGCGCACCCCTGGAGGAATAGCCACTTGCCAACTGCTTGCCTTTCCCCTGGTGCTCCTTTTAAAATAGCCTGTCCAAGAAGGTGGAGGTCTATGCGGTACAGAGAACCACTACCAGTATCCAAAGCAATGTTCCCTCTAAGTCGTGTCGTCTTGTGGGCAGAAATTCTACCTCATGAGCTGAAAGATCTACTAGTCTTAAAGTTGTGAGCGGGCCTACCACTATTTCATGTAGACACCATTATTCCACTATCCAATCTGTTCTGAGTCTTCAGAATGGGAACACTACCCCTCTAAGTATGCTGACAATATATATTTAACTTGCGTTAAAAATTGAAGAAAATTTTAATCAGGCTTTGCCTAATTTAATTATAAGCTGAAAGTTAGCCCAGAATCTGCTGTATTATTCACACTCTGTGTAAACTATATGTGGCATCCCTGCAATTGGACATGTTGGCATATGTAGTGCAGACCTTCCTGTAGAACCCTTAAAACACAAGCTCCAAGCCCTCCAACAAAAAATGCTAGTCAAGCATTAAGAGAAAACCGGTACAAGATGTTTTATCAATGGTACGTCACCCCAAAAGATATTGCTAAGATGGACAAGAATTACAAAGGGGCTTGCTGGAAATGTAAAAAAGAAGATGGTACCTTTTATCATATGTGGTGGACCTGCATCGACGAAAATATATTGGAAGATACACATGGAAAAATTAAAGATATTTTAAAAACTAAATTCCCAATGAACCCAGAGACTATGTTACTGGGAATCCTTTCAGATAAAACAGACAGAACCTCAGAAGACATACTTCAATATATGTTGACAGCTGCCAGAATAATATTTGCTATGAAATGGAAGACACAAAATTGCCCTACAATAGAGATCTGGGA